CCACTACATTTAATACCATCAACAATATTGATAATACATGTCCATCATATCCACTACATTTAATACCATCAACACAAATTAATAATACATATCTATTACATCCATTATATTTAATACCATAAACATTAATAATAATACATATCAATCACATATCCATAAACATTAATGATTAATGCCACAAGGTTAGAAGTTTACTTTGCAAACAGGCCAGAAGAGTGGCAAAACTTTAGGAGAACTAGGTATTTAATTGAAAAATAAGTTAGGAAATACAAAAATGTCTTATTATCAACAGCTGGCTGATGGTATTCAAACTAACAGCTTGGATGTTTTTGTATGTTAAAGATAAGTAAAACAAAATGTTAAATTAGGGAGTTGGGCCCTTTAAGGGTGCTAAAGCAAAACTGCTGAGCTTTTAAATGTTTTCTTCACCTCTATTTTTGGAATTGACCTGAATCATGTACATATTTACATGCCCAACAAGAGGGCAGGGAGACCAGGAAAATTTCTCCAGGGCTTGTTGCTCCAAAGAGAGCCTTTCAAAAGACAAACAAAAAATGTCTAGCTAATTGACTAATACCAATACAAAAACTATTAAGATAATCTCATTTAAGTGCTTTTCTTCAAATGCTTTGTAGCACAATACCTGATACTGTTTCAGAAGGTAAACCATCATTTAGCAAGTTCAAGCTGATTAAACATTCCACCATTGTCCAAGACAAAGAAACAGATCTGAGAACACTTGCACCATGAACTTTAACACTATAATTAATCACTTTGCCAGACAAAAGCCAAGGAAACTTAACTTTCATGTCACACAATTAATTAATTCATTAAATTTAATGTATATGTTATGAACCTTATTTAGCCAATAGAACCAGTAAAAAAATGTACAGATTAATATAATAGTTAAAACAAGTTTGTATACATATATAAAAATTTGACTGTTTATAACACTGTACAACTTGGACCAGAAATGGTAGTTTGTGCATTGTGGTATTTTTATTCTTCGGATTTGAACCTGAGACCTGTCATCTGCTAGAGACGTGCTCGACCAACTAAGCTAAAGGCTAGCCCACTAGCATTTGCTGATGAGGCATTTTTAACTACCAAAATACAGTACTTTTCCCTAGTCACAAACAAAGCCCATCCTTAGGACTAACTTCAGGGTTGAGGAATAGCCACTAGTTGGGTGTCAATGTGGTATTACGCAGAATCGAATCTGGCTGAACCACAATGAAGTCCAGAGCTCTATCATTCCTCAATACAGTTAAGTTCATGTGATACTTGTAAGCCATTCACTATTGTCACATAAAATATAATATAATAATTAAGAACAGATTTTCACCTACAAATTAGCTGCATAGTTGTTTGTTTTATTTTTTTTTCCTGTTTTTGTTTTCATTATTAAAAATTAACAAGAAAAATATCCGGGCAAATAGAACAAAATAGAAAAGACACATTGTAATGATAATCATAAATTGTACTAAAGTTTATTACAGATTACTAAATTAAGCTGCCAGTATTATAGATTCTACTGCTTGCTTACTGGGCTGGCATTCCCTGTATCACATTCATACTACTTTGTAGTATACTACATTGTAAAATAGTGTAGCATAATACAATGTAGTATATGACACTTGTATATACATGGTATTACAGCTTACTACAATATAGTATCCTGCTTCCTTAAATTTAGTCATATGACGTGTTCTACAATTTCTTTATAAAAATATGTAATTACTGAACACAATACACTGAAATTATCCAGTCAACCATTATGCTTAGAAAAAAGTTTAGGACACCTTTTTAAAGTATAGATTTTTCTTAGTGTGTGTAGATTAGACTTCTATGTATAAATTTTATCAACATGTTTCTGCAAAGTAAAGGTTCTTAATTATTGTATTATATTTATCCTTATAAGCACTACTGATATCAAATATAGAAGTTTCTTTTTGCAATATGTTTATTACTTACATGTGTTTTATCTTCTGGTGTGTTTCATTTTTAACAAAAAAATAAAGATCCAAGTGATTTTAATATTTTGAATTTCAATGGTAATCACAAGTATAATACAAGCAAGACTCTCATTTTAACTGCTTTATTGTTACTAACTGAAGATTAATGAGTTATTTACTTTACAAAAGTCACTGACTGTATTTAGACTTCATAGAGGAATAATACAAATACTTTGAGCTAAAGTCCTGCCAGTAAATAAAATACAAATAAAATCAGTGTTGATTGTGACTACTGCCACAGAACTTTAAAATAAGAAATATGTATCACAATTTCATTTTAAAACAGTAGTCTAGCAGGACACAGCATTAGAAACACATTACAAGACAGTAAAACAAATGTGTTGTGATTTAACTCTATGGTTCCATCTGTTGTCCATACCACTGAAGTTGCCATTTTGTCTAATCATCAAGTGATTGCAATGTTTGCATGTCTTATAGGCTAATGAGTGCCAAAAAGTCAGAGCATTTTAGTACCATATATGCTGACTTACTTTTCCTGTAGCTATTGGAAGTCCTGAATCTCCTGGTGGTAAGTAGGATGAGTAAAAATAAATAAAACACCAGGTTCAGACAAGATTTTAAAGAAGGTCAAAGATCAGCTATGCAGGCCTCTTTATATAATTGTTTGTAGATCAATATATAATGGTCGGTTTCCTGGGGATTGGATAGTTGCTCATGTTACTCCTACTTTTAAAGGAGGTAATAAGACTTGTCCTGTAAATGCTATGGAATATGATAACAAAAGTTTTACAAAATCATTTAGTGAAATATTATATTATAACAGAAAATCGATTTTTTAGGACGTTACTTGTTATCTGGACTTGGTTTACTTAGATTTACAGAAACTTCATAAGGTGTCACACAAAAGATTGGATAATAAAATGACATTACTAGTGGTTGTAGGGAAAAGAAAAATGTTGTTATTAATGGAGTCCAGTCAAAAACTTGTTGCCACTGAAGTATCACAGGTTCAATATTTCACATTTAACTTTTTGTAGTTACATTAACAATATTGATAATGGCATAATTAGGAAAGTGTGTTGATGATTAATCTTTTGGGTATTTCTAGCTGTATTTAAAATGTTGAAGTATTAAAAAATGACTTGGACCAGTTGGTTAGTTGGAAACTATCTGATAAATGACCTTTAACTATAGTAGGTGGAAAGTAATGCATCTGCATTCTCATAATTTGGACCACTTAATTCTGTGACTGAAGAAAAGAATCTTGGCATAATGTTGGAAGAGTCACTCAAGCTATGACTTGATAGAATATTATGGTGTATTTAGACATATTGATTATAAATCAAAAGGGGTAATTATCACTAATAGGCCTCACTTAAAATACACTGTACAATTTTAATCTCCTTATCTATGAAAGGTGCTATCATATTTCAAAGGAGTGATATTAGGTGATTCTGTGGATTCAAGGGTTATTTTAAAGGGAAGGGTTAATATCTCTTAATTAAGTTATTTTCTCTTAAGTTTACAAGAAAATCCTGCAGATTGATAGGATAAAAGCTCTGATTTCTTTGTACTCTTTCTGAGAGTAAATGGAGGATAGGAGATAAGTTTAAGATTTGGAAAAGTCAGGCTAGTCTTCAGTTAAGATATTTTTCCAAAATGATGATTGACTTATGAATAATTTGGTGCTGGCAGTGGTGGAATTCAGGATTTTAGAGGAGTTTAGGAGAACTGACAATATCCTGAAAACTAAAGGGTGGTTTTATATTTTACTTTTCTCAAGTGCGTATAAGCAAAGACAGCTCTGAAGGGCTAAATGGTTCTTGTTATCTGTATTTTATGCTATGTTGTGTTTACACAATCCCATGTGAAAAATGAACAATTCCCATATGAAGCAAAAAGTTTTAACAAAGGATGTAAATATAATTATTACAAGCAACATAAGTTTACTAAAGTGTAAGCTGTCATCATGTATTAATTAAATAAAAAATCCTGACAATGAATTTAACTACCTGTGGAAGTACCAATCCTTTCATTATTCCAGTAAACCCAAAGAGGTTGCCCAGAGCAGTCTTGGTGTCTATAGCTACCTGTATCCATTTGTTGAGAACCATGGCTCTTTCTGCCTCACCTCCACAAGTAAGTATTGTTACAGCAACAAAATACTTTAGACACTCTAACCTGAAAAGATGTTAACCAAAATAGAAAAATCACTTACTGATTGTTATTTATTAAAAAACAAACAAGTTCTCTTCAAGAGTTATGATTAGTGTATTCTGAAGAATATATCAAGGATATAAGAAGGAATAGAGCCAGAGTAATATTGTTGGCACAAATGTATTAAATTATAAGTTTTAATTGTTACAAAATAAGGAAAAATTAACAGTATAAAGTAATACAACATCAACTTTTAACTTTTGTTGGCACAAATATATTATATTATAAGTTTTAATTGTTACAAAATAAGGAAAAATTAACAGTATAAGGTAATACAACATCAACTTTTAACTTTTGTTGGCACAAATATATTAAATTATAAGTTTTAATTGTTACAAAATAAGGAAAAATTAACAGTATAAGGTAATACAACATCAACTTTGAACTATGATTAATACTTAATTCTCCTTTACGTTGTGGTAAAGTCTGAAGCACTGTTTCTGATAGGACTTTAACTTTACACTTACCGAGAAGTGACTTTCTGTTTACCTGTCCAGCAGGTCAAGCTGTAGCTGAACCTTGTGGTAAAGTCTGGAGCTCTGTTTCTGATACCATTTAAACTGTATACTTACCAAAAAATGACTTTCTGTTTACCTGTGCAGCTGATCAAGTTGAGCTGCACTTTGGCTCAAGCTAGAAGCTTTTAGTTCTCATATGACTTAAACCATATAGTTATTAAGAAGTGGCTTTCTGTTTACCTGTCCAGCAAGTCAAGCTGTAGCTGAGCTCCTTGAGGTAGAGTAAGCAGTTCCAGTCCTGATGTGACTCTCAACCCCAGATTATGCCTGGAACTTATCTTTAAAACCTCCAGGTCAGTCTTAGTCAAGTGGTTAGCTAAAACTCGAGGTCCATTTTCCATCAACAGATGCCGTACTCTGAGTAAGGTGGAACTCTCTAGAGGTTTGTTGTCTGCAGATAACAAGCATGTGCCAAAAGTAGATAAATTAAAATGGGAGGGAGGATTCAAATCTGGGATTGTTAAGACAACACTGCTATCTATAGCTGCAAATTCAGAATCATCATTCTGAGAATCAAGGAATGAAAATCTGGTTTCTCCTGAGGTTGCACGATGAAATTTCCTTGGTAAAGACATATGTTTCACTTTTTCATTAGGCTTCTTTTTTGAGGTGAAAAAGTTAAGCAAATCATCTGATTTAGAGTCTTGAGATTTTGCTGTAGAGTCTCTGATATCTGAAAAATTCTTGTTTGGTTCTTCTCCATTTTCTCGTTGTTCATTTGCAGAAATAGATATTCCTGTTCCACTGTAATGCCAACCTTCAGTTTGTTTAATGATAGGTGCATTCTGGGTGTACTTGAATGATGGAACTCGACTTGGTTTAGGTGGTGGTTGATCATTGTCTATACTGGCTGAACCAAAACTTCTGGAACAGCTAGGTCTCCATTCCCAGCGTTTCTTTTCTATAGTGGGACTAAGGTTTGGATCACTACCTACTCTCATAATACCCATCTTCTGAGTTACAGTCTGATAATGATGTGGACGTAGAGTTGCAAATGCTGTGATACTGCTGTGTGTTGTGTCCAAAACTGGTGAGCCATGAGGAGAGTTATTTGCATCACAGTTCCCTATTTTTGGAGGTATATCTGGTGGTTGTGATATTCTTGCATTTACAACAGGCTGTTCTGCATAATCCCTCTGGTCTGAAGAACTCTGTTCTAGAGCTTTTACAGCATAATGCATCTGACACTCTAGTCCATATCGAGATGCATAGTAAGACAGTGGTTTACTGCGATTCACAGGTCGAGATATCACAGCTCCCGAAGCTAAAGAAATTGCCTTTTTATTACCAACATAATATGTAACCATATCTGGAACAGTGTCAAAACACTCATCTTCAAACTGGTACTGGACTCTCTCATAGACTGTATAAGGTTGAAGAACAACCTGAAAAAATCAAAACATGAACTGAATCTGATATCTCAAAGATAAATAGCTCTTTTCTATCAATATATATATTTTTGTAACCATATTATGAAAACCTTGTCTGTTGCAGACTAAGTGCTCACCCATATAATACAAGTTTATTGATTAAAACTTAAAGCATACAAATATACTCATATGTACATAATGTGTTTCATACTGTAAGTATGTTATAATCAATCTGTGAGGTACCCTAGATATCTCTACATATATAAAGTGTTTCACATTGCAAGTACGTTATAATCAACCTGTGAGGTACACTAGATATCCTTACACATATAGGGTGTTTCACACTGCGATATTAATAAAAACTTAATTCTCATTAAAACTAAGCTAACTGTATAGGCTAAAAATAAAGCAACTAAAAGGTAATATAAGAAATATTGAAGACAACCTTGGATGAGAAACACTAGAAATACTATTATTTTTGCATAATACCAATAAAATCTCATGAGGCTCAGCTAGTGTTGGAGAATTAGGTTAGTTCTAAATTCATTCGCTAAGCTGATAATTAAAAAATCTTCATAATTGTAAAGTTAACTCAAAAAATTTGCACAAATTATTTCAACATTATAAGAAAAAAAAGATTTAATGAAACTAAATATAAAGAAAAATGTAATAGGTCATAACTTGCATCGCATAAATAAACATCACTTATTTGTTATAATGGTGCACACAGCTTATCAATACATTAAACATGTTAGGTATTTATGTACTTGCCATAGTGCACATCCAATGTCATAAACTGGTGGAAGACTAAAAGTCATAAAGAAAAGCACACAATGAACATCTCTCCACACATGTTCTGTCACTGATCCTTTACCATTACAAATGAATCTCTACAATTCTAATAAACAAAGGAAAATGGAAACCAAATTTTTTAAAATTGAACATATAACCTTAATTAGTTTGACTAAAATGGTAAATAAAACTGTGAGGCAGCTTAAACACACATACAGGTATTTCATCTTGTATAGATGTTAAATAAATTGTGAAGTAACCTTATTTATAACAAAGTGGAGGGGTGTTCGTCTGCATAAACATGTCAACACATAATCTCCTGGTCGAGAGATGCAGTCTCTTATGAGAAATTGACCGTCTTCTTTCAAAAGTTCTTCCGCTCGCTGTCGTGGAATAGTTCCATGGTACCAGGCATGACTTCTCAGGTCGCTATTGTCGAGACTGAGCTCCCACTCTAGAGCCTTTTTCAACTCCTCTTCTGGTGTGTGGCTGTCCACTTTAGGCTCCTGTGTTTACATAAAAAAATGTATTATGGAGTTGGAGAAAATTGTTTGAACTCTCTAATGTAGTACTGGATATCATTCAGAATTTCAAGGGCTGCTATGCTTTACAAATCCCTTAGCTTTTGTAATAATCCTCCTTTTCCCCTTTCTCATCACCAAAATAAATAAATAAATAAGTAAAACAATGAAAGTTATTAAATGAAGAACCAAACTGTGCCATAGTATTATTAGACAAGCTTTTTAAATATTTTCCAGTAGATTATTAAGAAAGTAACTATATTTTACAAAAACCCACTTTATTAAGTTAGGATTGTTACTATTATTAAAAAATATTTCAAACACTTCCCAAAACTTTAATTTTCAAATGTTTTACATATTAATTGTTTGAAAAGTGTGATTTCTACAAGTGGCCTCTTAAAACCTGTAAAAAGTTTCATAATTTTGCTACTTGTAATACAAAAATAATAATTACAACAGGATGCTCAAGTAATAATTCATGTAACAAAAACAAATATTAATTATTACTTGTGAATCCAATCATTAATGTATTTCAAAATGTGAGCAGTACTTATCTTTCTTAAAGGTATATTGTTGTCAACTCTTCACCATCTCAAAGTATATCAACCTTTCATCAGGTTACACTTCTGTCAACTCCTCACCATCTCAAAGTATATCAACCTTTCATCAGGTTACACTTCTGTCAACTCTTCACCATTTCAAAGTATTTAAAACTTTCATCAGGTTAAACTTCTGTCAACTGATCAGTTCCTCAAAGTATGCCAAAAGCGACCATTACACATCTCAAAATATATGACTCTTTGATCAAGATATCCTGTTGTAAAAGTTTCAACACCTCAAACTCAGAGACACTCAGTTACACTTTTGTCAACTCTTCATCATCTCAAAGTATCTAAAACTTTCATGAAGTAACACTGTTATCTATTATCAAATCTTCACAACCTCAAGGTAAATGAACCTTTTATCAAATTACACTCCTCTCAATTTTTCAAAACAATATTAACTTTTCATCAAGTTACTATCAATGTTTTAACACCCCAAGAAATATAAACTTTTAATAAATTACACAGCTGTTTTTGATTTTACTGTATCAGCATGTTTTCATTATATTACCCTACTCTAGTGCTATCAACTTTTGATCAAGTACTATTGATGAGATACAATCATCACTTTACAGTATCATTGGTTTTTGATTAAGGTCAGAATCTGACACAGCCAAACATGAAGAAAGAACACTCATATACAAATAAACTGATGATAATATACAAATGAAATGGACATCTAAAACCTGATAATCTTCTCTGCTGATAACTATTTGTAACCGTACTAAATCATCAACCTTTCAACAAGTTTTCCTAAACTGACTGTATTATCATTCCTTTGTCAATTTTTATTGATGTCACACCATCTTCACCTCACAATATCATCAACATTTTGTCAGGATATATTGATGTCAAACCATCATGATCACTACATAGTATCATCAACATTTTGTCAAATTATATTGATGTCAAACTATCATTACCACACAGCATCATTCAACATTTTGTCAAGATATAGATGTCAAATCATCATCATCACAACACAGTATCATCATCATCTGTTCAAGATATAGATGTCAAACCATCATCATCACAACACAGTATCATCATCTTTTGTCAAGATATAGATGTCAAACCATCATCATCACAACACTGTATCATCATCTTTTGTCAAGATATAGATGTCAAATTATCATCATCACAACACAGTATCATCATCTTTTGTCAAGATATAGATGTCAAACACTCATCATCACAACACAGTATCATCATCATTTTGTCAAGTTATACTGTTGACAAACCCTCATCACTACATAGTATCATCATCATTTTGTTAGTTATATTGATGTAACACCATTATCACTACACAGTATCATCAACATTTTGTCAAGTTAGATTCATGTCACACAATCATGATCCCACAATATTATCAATATTTTGTCAAGTTATATTGATGTCAAACAATCATCATCACAACACAGTATCATCATCATTTTGTCAAGTTATACTGACGTCAAACCATCATCACCATCACACAGTATCATCAATATTTTGTCAAGATATAGATGTTAAACCATCATCATGACACAGTATCATCAATATTTTGACAAGTATATTGATGTCAAACCGTCATCATGACATTGTTTCATGAACATTTTGTCAAGTTATACTGGTGTCAAACCATCATCACTATATATGTTTAGCTTGTGCAAATCGACAAAGCGAACTGATTTATTTCTTAGTTCATGTGATGACAGAATTATGAGGACTGTACGGTGCGTCAGACACCAACTGAAGGCATGCGCTGATGAAACGAAAAGCGGGTCGACTTTACGGTCAAACCTTGTATTCTTTTGCCGATGGGATTACGAATATGCTCTGTAATAAGAACACTGTTAAGCCAAGAGCCGACATATCTTTTACACAAATGCATTCATTGATCCAATATAACGCCATCAAATATTATGTTTGTGACACCATATGAGACTTTAAATTCATCGCTCTTCTTTGAGTGACAGAGTTTACTTTTATTAACTTATAAAGACCAGACTTCAGATGTCTATAGAAATATACATTTAAGCCTCACCAGTTCTTGAAGATGATGTTTCACCAATGCCCTTTATTGGTTAAAAACTCATTTATTCTATTATAATCATATATTATTTTAATCTTGTTATCTTACCATAGTAATGCTATTTAATTATCCACGTGTTTAGTAGAACACCTACTATTATTACCATATCTAGCGTAATATAAGCAAATATATAAATACTTTTTTTTACATGCCAATTTGTTTAAACTATTTATCTTACCATAGTAATGCTATTTAATTATCCACATATTTAGTAAAATTCCTATTATTATTACCATATCTAGCGTAATATAAGCAAATATATAAATACTTTTTCCATGCCAGTTTGTTTAAACTATTTATCTTACCATAGTAATGCTATTCCTTCGGCTGTTAATTTTGCTCGTCCAACCACTAGTGGGGGCGCTGTGTGACGATAAGAAGTTGAGAGTCTGGGAGCTGACGAAATATTCAAGTATTATATAATAAAACTAAACTACATCTCGTAATATACATTCTTTAACGGTTGTGTTATGGATGACAAGGTTACTTGTAAAAAATAAAAAAAGTTGATAAATTGTGACTAATTATCGACAGAGTTTACAAAACCGTACTTTTCGTCAGAAATGCTTTTTTTTTAACTTCAAGCCTATTCATACATTAAGAACTTAAACTTCTTCAAAAACAGAATCTCTACAATGAACAATATCAGTTTTATCCTGTCATTATTTGCGGATAACCGCATACCGATTAGTACAAAATGTTTATACCAAAAGTCATGTGGTAATTCAGAGCAGGCTTAACAAACTTACCTCATCTCCCGATAATATTAACTTTATCATTTTAATAAATCTTAATTATTATTATGGGAATGGGACATTTAAATACGGTTTTTCTCACATTAATACACAGTAAACGATAAACATAATAATTCCTAATATTCAACCAATTAACTTTACATTTATAATAATAGACAGGGTTTTAGCGTCAACAAAAAAAAACTTTGAAAATGTTAATTTTTATCGTGATCTTTATATGTACGCACATAAGTTTGCTTTAAAAAGTAACGTAACAAATGCGTATCCTACAATCACATCCTACACTTGAACAAAAAAAATCTATAATCTATTGCGTAAAACGTCCAACTCTTCCACCAGCGAACTGAGCACGAATTCTAAATCTTGAATAAAATCAACTCTCACGTGAAACATACGATACTCTTCCACCAGAGAACTGAGCACTGATTCTAAATCTTGAATTGAATCAACTATCACGTGAAACGTCCAACTCTTCCGCCAGAGAACTGAGCACTGATTCTAAATCTTGAATTGAATCAACTATCACGTGAAACGTCTAACTCTTCCACCAGAAAACTGAGCACTGATTCTAAATCTTAAATTAAATCAACTCTCACGTGAAACGTCCAACTCTTCCACCAGAAAATTGAGCAATGATTCTAAATCTTGAATTAAATCAACTCTCACGTGAAACGTCTAACTCTTCCACCAGAGAACAGCAGTGGTTCTTTCACTTGAATATGTTGTGAAGAGAACTCGTTGTCATAAATATTAAATTCGTAAATGTGTCTTACTGTTTATATAAGGACTTCATGCTTTCTCATAAAATACAATTTTCAGTTTCTGATCTTAAACAACTTGAATAACCTTAAAGTTTTCTTCCTCTGCACTAATAGGATCTAAACAAAACAACTCAAAAGGAATTTCATAGAAGTATCAACAGTTTTGTTAACTCTAGATTCAGTCTGCAAAAAAGTATCCTTTGATTAATATCAACAAAACATATTAGCTTTGTGCGATTTGAACAAATTCTTGATAATAAAATACTAGTTCCTTCACATTTTTGTTTCGTGTTTATCTTTACATGTGCCTGACAAGACAGTGATAAAAGTGACATAAGGCAGTATGTATGTCCAGACTGGTTTCAGATATTTTCCAAAATCAGTTCTCAAACAATCTCAATAATCAGTTCTAATGGAATATCAAGAATCAGTTTCATATAATGTGAAGAGTCAGTGTCATAAAATATATATAGAATCAGTTTCACAAACTCAATAGAATCAAATTCATATGATATAAAGAATCAATTTCACATCATCCCAAAGTCAGTTGTCTAAGGACCAGTTGTTAGAAAATCTCAATAATTCGTTTTCAGAAGTTATCAGATGATAATGTAATTGCAAACAGAATATCTGATGTCGATTTTCACCAACATCATGATATCGTCTCAGAAACAGGAATGAATTGAAACAATTTTAAATATTTCCATCGCAAGCATTTGAGATGGTATAAAAAGTCCAGACGGATTTCTCTATGGAAAAAAGAAGTTAATATGTAATAAAAACTCTACTCTCACAGCAAAATCAATATAGTCATTGTCCACCATTCTAAGAAAAATTATTTCAGATATATATACTATCTATCAAGATTACAAATACTTAATATATTGACCCTAAGAATCTGGTAAAACAATCACAGTACCATAAATTTAAGCAAGTCTCTAGTACCCAGAAACCATAGCTCTTAATCAGAAACAGCATACAATTTTCAGGTATCCTTTATCATGAGGTGTACAAAGCCAACACACCGTTCATCTTGGACACGTTGAAACGTTATCATCCGAACACACAATTTTTAGGGAACGCTATTATCTTTTATTATGGGGTGAACAAATCGACCCCAAATTTATCGCATGAAAACTGAGCGAGAAAAAACACGTACTAATGACGTAAGTGTCTCCGAGAGCAACGAGGAAGAATCCATTCAGTATACATGTGGGTGATAAAGTACCAATCATGGACGAGTCTCAGCGAGTTAGTCGAGTAATTCCAATCAGTATAGAGGTGAGGGTTACTAATACAGTAACTACACTTGGAAGTGATAGAAACAAAGATGTCGTAGATAGGATGAGAGTGATAGAAACCAGGGTGTCGTAGATAGGATTGGAGTGATCAAAATCAGGGTGCCATATACAGGGTTGGAATGATAGAAACCAGGGTGTCATATATAGGATGAGAGTGATAGAAACCAGGTAGTCAAATACAGGGTTGGAATGATAGAAACCAGGGTGTCATATATAGGATGAGAGTGATAGAAACCAGGTAGTCAAAT